TGAATGCCTATACTTCTTTCTCAGCACTTTGAATGAATATCCAGTCACTCACTCAGTCATACTGTCTTTTGGATAACAACAGATTTCTTACAAACAGGAGAAAAAGACATACTTTAGTAGCTGATTATATTTGCATCATTATTTGCATGGTATTTTGGATAAACAGGTCTATTTGCTTAATTGTCTCCACCTCCTTTCCACTACAACCTGCTTGGGGTCCAACTCTCTGTCCTGTAGTAACCTAAATAACTTACCCATGAGACATGCACACACATGCACATACAAGAATTTAAGTTCATCCCTGCTGCCTTCTAATACGATGTTGCTTCAGCTGGTGTGACAGACGAACAGCAGGTCAGCAGCGGCCCCATCGGCACCGCTAGTGAACTTTCTCAATGTGAACTCAAGGACCTCAGGATTAGTATAAACTAACAAACTCTAACCTTACGTGAATTCTGCCAAAACAGCAAGCAGCCTAATTCATCTAAAGAAACTGAATCAGGATGAAGGAAAAATGTGCTGTTGAATAAAAATGTTTTTTAAGAATTTGGAAAGCCAATCTATGGGTAGTTAAGAAGGAGCATCAGTAGACATACACTTAGGTGCAAAGCTTGACAGATGTGCACAGTCAAACTGGGGGAACATAATCCAAACTGCATCATATCTATTACAAAACATTTAGTGTCATACTGTGCATGCACAGCTGGACGACAAATTAAACTTGAAACTTAGTGTCTGTGCCTCAGCTGTTAAATCAGATACAGTAACATGCCTTACAGGCCTTTATATTTAGATGGTTGAGCTTCATTTGCTTCATTTAGGTTTGAATGGTTTGTGTGAATTAATTCAACAACCTACAAGTGTCAGGATCTCTTAGCTAAAGACTGAACGTGAACTTAAATTAATTCAATTTCAGCTAAAGAATTTAACTATGAAACTTCAATTGAAATAAATTACAAGGAGCAAAAGAACCTTCCCAGCTGTATCCACTCATATGAAAAGCTAATTGAGCTCCAGATGTGCCAGTATTTTTGGAAAGGGAGGGTAATTTAAGTAACTTTATACAAATTACATTAACAATCCCACAAATGGCTCAGCTAAAGTGCCTCTGAATAGTCACTTCCCTCAGGAGCATTTGTGGTGCCTGGGGAGGCGGCAGTGGTGCGGTGGGTAAAGCAGTTGTCTCCCAACCAGAAGGTTTAAGGTTCAAATCTCAGTGCTGGCAGTTAAAGTGTCCTTAGGCAAGACACTGAACCCCCCTGTTGCCCCCAATGGTTAGAGCCATTATTGCAGATGGCTGCCATCGGTTGTGTACCGGAAACAAACTCTTTGTGTGTAACATACTTGGCCAATAAAGGTGATTATCATTTAAAGGAGTCCTCATTCAACAATGCTTTATTCAGTCCATTTAAGTACAGTGATGAGTAATATTTCCAAAGTAATGACTTTTATCCATAACCTGTACTTTCATAACGCCTGTGCATGAGGACACACTCTCTCTCAGGAAGACTCCACTTAGCAAGGATTTAGGTGCAAGAAGGGATAAGGCCTTGTGAGTGAGCCAGCTCAACTTCCTGTGACCTCTCAGGCTTTAAGTGGAGGAAATGAAACCCTTTGTCCTTAAGTCCCACCCCATCAGACCATCCGAGGGTCAACACCAGTGATAAGCGCCCAATGTGGGGAGATTAGCACAGATGAGCAGTCAGACCATCCGAGGGTCAACACCAATGATAAGCGCCCAACATGGGGAGATTAGCACAGATGACCAGTGGTAACCTCGATTTAAAAACATTCTTCTTGGCTTTCTCTTATCACTGAACAGTTCTTTTTGTTTTGCTTTGCAGCATCACTCACATCAGAGCATTGCAGTTTCTTTTTTTAACCATCAGTGTTAAATCACGCTTACAAAGCACCTGCTCTAACTCGCTCTCTTAAAACCACTCATCCTTATCTCTCTCTGGCACTGCTCTACTTACAGCAGGTGCTGAAACCATTACTACTTGTTGTCACTGTCACTGATTTATAGTTCAGACACCGTAACATCTTATGCAGACAAAACAGTCACTTTCCCTCCTGAAGTCTGATGCAGCACATCTAATTCATAAAATAAAATCACCTAATGACACAAACTGGAGAGGACTAGGGATGAATTGGACATTAAGGACTGCTGTGTATAAAATAAAAAGCAGCATATACTGTAAGTAAAAGTAAAAACTGACATGTAAAGCAAGAAAAAGAAAAAAGACATATGATGGAGACACTAATTGCAGAAGGGTGAAAGCAGCTGTGGTCTAGGCAGCAGGAACTTACATACAAAGATGTCTCCAGGCAACCAGTGAGGTGTGAGGGGCGTCAAGGAGCCTATGCAAACTAATGATTACCTCCCCGGTGCCATCAGCCAGAACAAGCTGACACAAGAAAGAGGATGGCAGAGAGGTGCGTTTTGGTCTAGTCTGGGCCTTGCAGGCTTCCGTATCACACCACCCTCAGCTACATTGTTCTCTCTCTCACCCTGCCCACCCCTCCCTCCACCACTCTCTCTCAGACTCCCTCCCACTACCTACACATGCAGCACTTCTCCTGCACTAAAGGGTACTCACCCACGCTGGCATAATGACACACAATATACATGCAGCTGTAGGCACACATATGCAAATTAACACTTCTATTCTGATAATATTTGCACATGTAAGAAAATGCCACACCCCAGCACTAATTAAAGCTGCTCCCAGTTTGATTTGACTCTCAAAGTGAGAGTGAAGGGAGGCCTGTGCATGGACGTCAGCCTTGGGGTTGAGCCTGGCTTCAAGGTTATGAGATTATTTTGAGGGTATAGACAGAAATAAGGAAAATAATATTACAAATACTTAACATATTTTTGTGTAACCCAATACTAAAAGAAAATCCACTTTCAACAGTGTGGCCAGTTGCTTCTGTAAGTCAGAAAAGGCTGCGAGCCAGCAGACTGCATCGTGGTCAAGATGGGTTTTCTCCATATTGTTGGATAAAAAGTTCTCCTTTTCATGAATCTCACTAATAAAACTCTGAATTTCTAAACTCAAGCTATTGAAAGGATTTTCTCATTTTGATGAGAGGTTATAAGATCAGTGGGCTCATGTATAAGTGCTGAATCCATCCATATGAGAGGTCTCATTTGAAAGAAACGTGACTATAAACTCAAACCAAACAAAAAAGCATGCACATTATTTGGGAGACTGATGCATAAGAGAGCTACATGAAACCACAAGAAACAGTCAAACCTGGTTCAGCACTTTAGGCTGAGCCATTACTGCCCTGCATCCCTCAGTATTAGGAAGCAGATATGCACAGTGCTGAATCAGCAATAAGCCACTCAGAAGTGGATCTGAGAGCACCCAGACTGGCTGATATTATTGATTACACTGAGAATGGGACTTTAAAATAGCATGCGTATGTAAAGTTGACCTTAATCATCACCTTCACATGCATTTTTTTTTTTTTTTTTACCAAAAACTCAGTGCAAGTGCACAATAACAGACATTTATTACACAACAGCAAATAGTGTTTGATATACAGGTGGGCATGGGGTTCCTGTTCAGTAAGGAGCTGCCATCCTTTATACAAAGCCACATTCATCCTTTTAATTAAATATTGAGGAAGGAAAAAGAATAAGCTTACACCTTGTGTGGGGCCGCACTAGATGGTGATTAAAATGATTTATTTATGCTGAGGAGCAGCAGGATACTGGGGTGTGATGCCAAAATAAAGGTGTCATGAATCTCCCCGGGGGGCGCCCTCCTGGCCTCACTGTACCTATCTTTCAGATAAAACAGTTCAGCCTGTTTTAAATATGTTTAGCTCTCAAGTCTGACTGACTGACTGCTTCAGTTATTAAACATGCAACACCTGCAACCTCTACCAGCAAACCTTTAATATTGATGCACCAACCGAACCCCCTGCTGTCTCTGGTTGCTCATTACTTAGCAACCGTGCACTGCAGCTGCTGCTGAAGGCCTACACTCTATGACGGAGGAATACACACTTCAACTAACGCCCATTTACAATGACAACTTACTCTTGCGTGTAATCTACCGAAAACTGAACGCTTACCATGTTTCCTTCATGGCACATTGGATAAAAGCAACAAGCCTTCGCCTTACAACTCATCTAATCTGGTCTTTAATACTAATCGCTCAGTAAACCGGGGCGGGGTGGCTGTAGGTCAGAGCGGAGCATGGCGCGCTCTCCAGATTTCTGGTAGGCCTCAGTATTTCAGCACCCCTCTCCCCTGGACAGCTCCGTCCAATCAGGTGCGCACATTTGAAACGCGTCATCCTTCCTCATCCTCCTCATCCTCCCTCCTTCCATCTCTGAGGCATGGCGGAGGACATCACAGACAAAATGCTGACTATCACAACCGGCTTCCTGACAAACTCATGTGTTATATATTTAGGATAAAATAACTTATTTCTGGTGGAAACATGCTATAAGAGAAGCTTATGAGAAACAGTCTGCTATGGGATGTGCACTAATAGGGTGCGTGCCCGGTTCTTAAGCACAGTGTCACACGACCTTAGCAGCCGGTCGGCCTCAAATACTCCCGACTGATTTTATAGTGAGAATCGCCCTTTGTCTAATAATTTAGTTATCAACCTTACATGCACATTTGGACACGAAACATGACCATTGATTCCGCATTCATTCAGCCACATGGCAGCCTGTTCACGCCACTGCACCTGCCTAGAAGTAGATCCAGCCTGAAAGCATCCCTCGATGATTAATATCCTGGGAGTTTTGACGCAGGGCTGCTGTGGCCCAAACTATACTCTGCTACACTATGTTCACGCACATGTATTCTGGGTTTCTGCTTTTAATCACCGGCGCCATAATGATGTAAACGCTCGTTACCACAGTAAAGTACGATTTAACAAAAGAGAGGCAGGTGCAGCGCCGCTAGCCCGAGCCCAGCCGCCCTAAATCCTAATAATGAATGAAAACAAGAAAAGATATTCAAAACTCACCTAATATAATCCAGAGCGACCCAGAGACCAGAACGAATGCGAGCATGTCTTTTTCATTGAGTCAGCGGTGCCGGTGCAGGAGCGGCTCAACACTGCAGCATCTATGGCGCAATGTGGGAGATTAAGGAGGGGGGCGACAATATAGACTGAGTCGGACCACAGCGGGAGAGCTGAGTGGGGGATGGCGATGTCCAGCAGCTTTTACAGTGCAGCTGTCACCTGAATAAACGAATATGTTGACTTAAAAAACACACCCCGACGACCTATTGAAGCATCCTTCCTCCTTGAGGACTTCCACCTTCACCCAGTTGGCTGCTGAACATTGCGGACATCCGTGGTGAATTTAAAAGGCTTGTAGGTCGGATAGGAAATAAGATCGACGCGTTGGTTACAAAGGATTAAAGATAAATTCTTGTTACCAACCTACAGACAGAGTTTTATTTTATTTTCATTTTAAATAAGCAATTCATCATTCATACTGCCCCAGATATAATTTGGGCATTCAAATTCATATTTTGGGGTGTTATAAAATGCATGTGCAGCAAAACGTAGCCCTCTCATCTGGGTATTTTGACAGCTTTTAAACTTTTGATTTATTTCAAAGGGACTGTTGGTACATCACTCTTGCAACCTACACGTCCCTGCGTTTGAGCACAGCTTTGACCCAGACTTTGCATCATGAGCACGTGGTACAATAAGACACTCCCAGTGAACTAAAGTAACCTTGAGATGGGCTGACAGAGTGTCACTGAGTGCGGAAGAACGTGGAGGAGACAGAAGAAGAGAGATTTTAACTGTGGCTCACCTGCGTTTCCCTGGTTACATTTTACATCCTGTTACTAAGCACCTCCATCACTAGTGACTTGAAATGGTCTTGACTAGCTGCTCAGATTTCTTTTTGATATCTTTAATACCACATATCCTATATTGAATGCAACAAGAGGCAGATTTGTTTGACTCTTTGGCAATTCATTCACCAACTCTCTCTGTGATATTACTTAACACAAAACTCCCAACCCTGTCTCCAGCAGTGGCCAACATCTTACTGTGCTGCTGTCACTTCTCATAACCCCTAATCTTTAGTTTGCAGCAGTGCCACCCGCCACCTTCCTGCTCCTCTTCTTTTTCTTCTCTGAATCTACTGCAGAAAAAAAACACAGATGAGGAAAAGAATGATCCTGTGTACAGAAACAAACGAGCTGTTCACTGAGTGAGGAGGAAATAAGTGGTCAATCAAATACACAAGCAGCAGTATTAATCCAATTACAATGTAGTAATGCCTTTTTATTTCAATGTAGTTTGTAAATATTAGCTGTGATCCTTCATCAGGACACTAGGAGTGTGAGTGTGGTCATTAACACACAATTAAATGTGCCAAAGAATGGGACAGCATTCATATGGAGGCTCAGTATATGAGTTAAATGATATTTACCCATTATTTGGCCCCAATGAGGGGGGTGTCAGGCCATGCCATCATAAATCTTCAGAGATCCACAGTGAGCATCACCATTTTCTAGGCCCAACCTAGAGCAGCCCTGAACCCAGTCCCCACCCAAGCAAAGAGCAGATATGTGGCTTGACCCACAGCGTCAGCATTGTATTTGCTCAGGTTAAGCAGCGGCTGGGCCCAGCTGGCTTGTAATGGCAGTCACCTCTGAGAGCGGTGTCTGTTCAGTTGTCCAACCACTGACACTGTTCTACCAGGACTGTCTAACAAAAGAAGACTATTAACATTTCCAGTGAGTCTGTAACCATATTATCGCCAACACCGATACAAGTTTTGTGTGGGTGCAGGAGTGAAGGCAGGTCTACAGGGTCATCAGGTGGGCGCCCTCTCACTAACTGGTGTTTCACTGACTTGGGCCCACGACACTGAGAAGGCTCAACAGTGTGTTCCAGCGTTACCAGGAACTGAAAAGTGGCAGAAGGGGTCAAAGGTGTGGAGTAAAGGCAGGGATAAATAACAAATGTGAAAGTGTTGACATAAAAACAAGTGGAGGAATGTGGGAGAGGGTGAGATGAGGAGAGCAACACAATCGATGGGTTCAAACCAACATGAAGGCCAAACATGCAGTAACACAAAAAGAGACAAACTATAAACAGCATATAAAGCAAAGTGTGATTAAAACTCAAGGCACTGCCAGATGTTTTTATACTTTGACACAAAGCAGGACAGTGTAAACTATTGACTGTTCATAAACTTAAGGACAACAACATGATAGGATCATAAGGTCAAGGTCAAAGTGTTTATTTTGCCATATGCACAGATAGGAAACGTGTTTCCCCTGTACAATGAAATTTTTACTTTGCCGTCCACATGAATGCCACAAAAATACAAGTGAAATATAAAGTAGATAAATAAGTAACACTAAATCTAAGCAGCAAATGCAGCAATATAATAAAAATATATAAGAATATAATAAGAGAATGTATGCTGCATGGGAGCAGCATGTGCAACAGTCAACAGTCAATGTGCAATTATGCATGTGCAAACTGAGAATGTAAACAGTACCTCCAGCCAGAGGGCAGGGAGGTGAACAGTCTGTGCTGGGGGTGGGTGGGATCTTTGAGGATGGAGGCAGTCTTCCTACGCACCCTGCGGTGGTAAATGCTCTGCAGAGAGGGCAGTGGAGTCCTGTTGATCTTCTCCACAGTCTTTACCACTCTCTGCAGGCGCTTGCGGTCCATAGCAGCAGTGCTGCCGTACCAAACAGTGATGCAGCTGGTCAAGATGCTCTCGATGATGCAACTGTAGAAGTTTCTGAGGATCCTAGGTGACACACCAAACCTCCTCAGCCTCCTCAGGAAGTAGCCGTCGTTGGGCCTTCTTGACCAGCTGTGTAGTGTTAAGTGTCCAAGTGAGGTCCTCACTGATGTGGACGCATAAAACACAAAACACCGATAAAGATTAAATTTGAGTTTCCCAATGTTTTTGACTTGTGACCATTACAAAAAGGCAGTCTTACCCCAACCCCATGTCATTATTTCAGTGGTTTATGAGATGTTATTCCCACTCACAATTTCTTAGTTGATTTCATCAGATTCAGAATCAGAATCTGCTTTATTGACCAGGTGTGTTGAACACACAAGGAATCTGACTCTGGTACATCGGCTTTCAATGTGCATGTACATATCCCCATGCAAAGGGCAAGTAAACAGAAAACCAACCAGTGGCGGTTCTACATTGAATTACTCCCGGGTGAGAGCCCCCTCGTGCTTCTGTGCACGACACCTTCTCATCAACCAGGGGCGCCACATATGACAGATTATTTTCTTTCCAAGTGCTTGTGCTGCCCCGGTGGCTGCCCGGTTTACCCATGCCAAAAACCGCCACTGAAACCAACATAAGGCTGTGTAAAATAACAAAATAAGCAGTATTAACAAGCAAAAACAGTGCAAAGGTTTATTTATTTAAATAAATCAGAACACTGAATCCAAATTCAGAACCTTGTTTTGTTCTTCAGGTCACAAACCCTCAGATCTGTCATGTTACCTGCTGGAGGGGGCCTGACCACACACTTAGGAAGCGCTGGACTAAGTGAATGTTCTATTTTTATTCTACTTTATTCTATTTTAGTTCCAAAATGTTATGGCACCCAATACTAGGTGAGAGAGAAACGGTATTTCGATTTTCTGTATGTCCTGCACATATGGTGAATTGACAATAAAATCCTTGAACCTTGAATCTACAACAGTACGATTCTGCTTACACACTAAAACATCAGTATTAATAAGGTCATTTCAGTTTCAGCAAAATGTATAGTTTTACTTTTAAAACCAAACCTTTTTCACCACAGCTTGTTATTTAATGCTTAGTCTTAGAATCACAAACTTCATATCAGCTGTAACAAAATGAGCCTGCTAGATGGACAGAGGATGGTGTGTTGTGCTGCTGTAGCTCTCACACACAAACAGTACACTTACTGGGCTGATGGGGGCACTAAACCTGAAACCACAAGTGGAAAGCTGTTGCACCACCTGGCTCCTGTGGGTGACACCTGACAAGATGATACAGGTTGTGTCTGATTGGCCTGAGGGCAGAAGTCTAGATCATACATGGAATTTATAAAAGAGCTGGATTTTTCAAAGAACTGATACTTCATCACCTTTTGTGTCTTTTAAACCAGAAAAACTTTGTTTTATGGGTCTATAATTTTCAAATTATATTTTAATATGTTGTAATACAGTACGTTTCCCAAAAATAACTTTACTCTGAGCTACTGTATGTATTTGGTACTATTCATTAGAAACAAAATTCCGTTGTACATGTTACAATGACAATAAATAAAGCTTCTTCATACCAGGATTAGGCGAACAAAGAAGATTTAGGCTGAAACTTGATGAGCAGGTTGGTTATCTGTCGCTGTGCTTTTCAAATCATGTACATGCTACAGCTGCATAGCTATATACAGTACATCCTAATGAAGTGTCAAACGTTTTTTAAGGACTGAAAGCCTAAAACCATCTTGTACTTTGCAAGAGAATGTGAGTTAGAGAAAAGGCAGAATACTGGACACAGTCTGGGCACCGTTGTGACCTCCTAGATTTACCTTTTGACCCCTGCTTGGGAACCATAGGACACAAAAAGTAAGTGCCTTTTTACAAAAAAAATATATATATACTATATATATATCTATACTATCTATACTCTGATCTGAAAATAGACTAAAACACTGAAAAACTCTGGCAGGGTTACTCCGCTGACTTCCTATAATTCACATTTTTCTCTGCACACCGTCATCCAACAGCCTGACAGCTGCGCAGCAGAGATAAGTTGGGGAATCGGGATGATTTTCCCCTACCAATCCAAGATTCTGTTTTCATGGGGAAATCCCAGAGCCTGACTGCCGGTGAAAACTCCGAAGGAAAACTCCCTGCTCTTCCCTCCCGCACACGCCCTCAAGCCTTACATCATCTCAGCGCTCAAACACAACACGCGGGAAGCACCTAGAAAGACAGCAGTGGTGGCTGCTACCCCGGTGCGGGGTTTCCACTATTCCCAGGTTGACAGCGAGCCCATGTGTGCTTCCCATGCTGTTATATAACATGACCTATGGAATTCGGAATGCAGCAAAAAGCAAGAAAATAGCTCGCCGGATTTTACGCGTCGTAGATCATGTTCCCTCATTTCCAATAACACAGTTGCAGTGTTGTGCTTTGTTTCTGAGCACCTAATTGGCACTTGGTGCGTTACTGCCACGGATATGAATGATAATGTGTGCGAAAAGACCTGCAGCCCCTCA